GTTGGAAATCCAAGGCCCTATTGCTTTGGGACATACCAGATGTCCACTTGGATTTGAATGGTTGAAACTAGGTTGTTTATTTCTGTAGGAATAGACTCTAGTTTGGGTCAGTGAGTAAAGCTACTCATAACCCAAAGGCGGGGTATAGAGTTTTGTACTTCGGACTCAACCCGTTTGTATAGGCAGTTTGCTAGTTGAAAACTACTCCAAAACTGAAACCTCAGTTTAGCCAAAGAGTTCTGTCATGCAACAAGCATGGACGTGAATGAGCGCTTACTCCGCAGGCGTTGTGGTTATAAAAGATGTTTTTAGCTCTAGAGATAAAAATCAGTACTTGGCCCCGCAGGGAATTTTGTCTGATATATGGGCCTTCCTCGAAACAGCCACAGCCGAGACTCGAGAACAAGTTCAGCAAGTCTTGGAGGACATCACCGACCTTTCGAGTGATGAAGATTCACCTACAATCAACACAGGTGGGCACCAGGTTGCCATGAACTCGAGGCTTTCTACAACCATCGCAACAGCTTTTGTGCATGGGATAGCGACCTCAAACTTGTGCGGTTGCGACATGGAGAACCCGAAGGCTTCTGAAGGTGACATGGTCTCTTTCACGACACTGGTTTTGACTTTGTCACCAGTGACCCTGGGGGGATACACATGGTACTGGCTGCGCAAACCAATCATGCCAGTAATCTTCCCTCCAACGGACCTTGCAGTTCAAGCAGAGACTGCGGAGCCCGAGGTGGACGGAGATCCTCCAGTTGAAGGCATGCTATTGGTTGCCTTGAAAAGGATCAATGGAAGACTGGAGAGAGCTCAAAGGTGGGGAAACAACGGACAGTGTCTCCGCTACATGCAGAGCAGGACTTGGTTGCTCAGCTGCGTGGCCCACTACGCGGACAGTTCGCCAACTGAGAAGCTTCGTATGCCAGAAATTGTTGGGGATGTGAGCAACTTGAATGAAGACGATGAATCTCCACGACATGGGCTTGGAGAGGACAAGAAACAACTCGCGCTTTCGGAGGCGGACAAAGCCTCCAAAGCTATGATGTGTCTCCTGGAGTATGGTTGCTTTGAGGAGACGTCCAAACTCCTGAGCCAATTGGGAGGAGCTCTGCGTGAGGCCAAGCCGGCCAGCAGTGATGAAAGCATGCCAGAAGAAACCCAATCGCAACGCGCACGGAGGTACACTCAGTGCGGACAATCAGAGGCTTCAGACCCAGACGACTATTGGGCCGATGTCAATTAAAGTCCTGCCACCAACGAGCAGGAGCCAGAACCCGATGAGGATGAAAGCAAAGAGATGGAAGTGTGAGAGAGCCTGAGAGGGAAAATGCACCAATGAAGTGTGTCACCTGTTGGGTAGGATGCGTAGCAAGTGGCTCCAGTGCCAATACTTTGAAGTATAGATGGTTTCACCTTGAAAAGGTTCCAACAGAGGAAACACGAAGGTCACACAACTGACCTGAGGAATCGTAGCCTTATGAGTTGTTGTTAGGCACAAGGGGTACCCCAGCAATATATTCAAAAATGCATAACATTTGCAGATTGGGAATGCATATAGTTTTGGGGCCCCAAAGCGGACAAGGAAATTTTGCATAGGGCCATGCATATGATTCAAGCCAACCAAAAGAACATGCACAGGGTCATGCACATGCGCTTTGGGCCCCAGGAAAAATGCAGGCAGACTTCTCCGATTTTTTGCAAGTTTCCTTCACCAACATTCTAAAAAAATGTGGCGAGAGGAGCTCTGATCAGGGGCATTTATGTTGATGCATGTTGTGAAGGTACCCTCCACTGAATGCATGTTACTCTAAATGCTTGAGGAAAAATGATAGCCTTTCAAGAGTCAAGAATGTCTGTATATCATTTAGGATTGTTCAGTTGTGCTACTCGTTAGTTGCGCGTCAGCACCAGGTCAAAAAATGGAAATCGTGTTTCAATCACATTATTTCAATCCAGACTTTGTGATGTTTGTGTGATGTTCCCTGGCAATTTTTGGACTCAGAAAGTCTTTGCATCATGGTGCGCATGCTGAAAATTAAGAATACATAGGTCAAAAGATCACCCCCGGACGGCTTTTGGGGAGACCGTGCAGATCAGGAAAGTTGGCCTGCCAGATCCATTATGCATTTTTGAACGGCCGTAAAAATAGCACGCAAAAAACATGCATTTTCAATATGCGTTTTTGATAGCACGCAAAAAATATGCATTTTCAATATGCATTTTTGATGGCTCCAAGATTTTTCAGAAATATGCATTTTTCCATGGGAAAATGCATATTTTTTTGCTTTTCGGCTGGCTGCAGAAAATGCATATTTCATATTTTGTTGATTTTGTCCAAAAACTAAGGTTTTCATGGAATTATGCATTTTTGATGGTTCCAAGATTTTTCAGAAATATGCATTTTTCCATCGGGAAATGCATATGTTTTTGCTTTTCGGCTGGCTGCAGAAAATGCATATTTCATATTTCGTTGATTTTGTCCAAAAACCAAGGTTTTCATGGAATTATGCATTTTTGATGGCTCCAAGATTTTTTCCAGAAATATGGAATTATGCATTTTCTGCAGCCAGCCGAAAAGCAAAAAAATATGCATTTTCCCATGGAAAAATGCATATTTCTGAAAAATCTTGGAGCCATCAAAAATGCATAATTCCATGAAAACCTTGGTTTTTGGACAAAATCAACGAAATATGAAATATGCATTTTCTGCAGCCAGCCGAAAAGCAAACAAATATGCATTTTCCCATGGAAAAATGCATATTTCTGAAAAATCTTGGAACCATCAAAAATGCATAATTCCATGAAAACAGTAGTTTTTTGACAAAACCAACGAAATATGAAATATGCATTTTCTGCAGCCAGTCGAAAAGCAAAAAAATATGCATTTTCCCATGGAAAAATGCATATTTCTGACAAATCTTGGAACCATCAAAAATGCATAATTCCATGAAAACCTTGGTTTTTGGACAAAATCAACGAAATATGAAATATGCATTTTCTGCAGCCAGCCGAAAAGCAAAAAAAATATGCATTTTCCTATGGAAAAATGCATATTTCTGAAAAATCTTGGAACCATCAAAAATGCATAATTCCATGAAAACCTTGGTTTTTGGACAAAATCAACGAAATATGAAATATGCATTTTCTGCAGCCAGCCGAAAAGCAAAAAAAATATGCATTTTCCCATGGAAAAATGCATATTTCTGAAAAATCTTGGAGCCATCAAAAAATGCATATTGAAAATGCATATTTTTTGCGTGCTATCAAAAACGCATATTGAAAATGCATATTTTTTGCGTGCTATTTTTACGGCCGTTCAAAAATGCATAATGGATCTGGCAGGCCAACTTTCCTGATCTGCACGGTCTCCCCAAAAGCTGTCCTGTGGCGATTTTTCTTTGCTTGCTTTTCTTTGCGCCATTTGAATGTCACTCAACAAGTTTGGCAACAGATCCTAATACCCGCTTTGCAGTCTCAACTTGAGCCAAGTGTTCCATATTCTGGAACACTCAAAGACATGGATCTCCATGGTCTCAGTTCTATCCAGACTTAGGGGGTTTTGACTTGTGGGCAGAGACAACTCAGTATGGCAGGGGCGCAGGATGCGATTGCAAGTTTCTGGGGCATCTTCATGTGTCGTTGAACACGTATAGTATATACCATGCTTGAGCAAGCAGTCTGGATGCATTATGTTTGTGCAAAAACCGCTTGATCAATTTTGTGACTTGCATGTCGGGGATACTATTATGGCTGCGCAGTTGGCAGGAGTAACTACGGTGGCCCACATGCATCTAGAGTAATCAGCAAAAATTGAACCCCTTGTGGAAAGTTTTGAACATATGCATTTCTGACATTTGCAGCCTGTAAGTATGCATTTTTATTATGCATTTTTGGCTATAGATTTTGCATTTGGCATTCATGGGCTTGTGCCTGGACAACAACTCATAATCGTAGCCATAGTAATGTTTGGCAAACAGCCAACATTAAGGCGGGGTGACAGTCATTTCCGCATTAGCATTTGTGTACATTTGCATGTCAGTCATGCAGTTGTGCACATGACACAGCACAAATCGAGTAGTGTACAAAAGGATGAATTCTGAGGCGCTTTCGGTTCCAGAAAAGTTCGCAAAAATTCTCAAACAATAACAGCACTGAACACGTTCTGTAAACAAAAAGGACTGGTGTGTTTGTCTCGCAATCACATCGCGGTTATATTTTCTGTTTGCCAACAATGTTGCATGGACTCAAAATCATTGGAATTTTGTGGGCGATACGAATACACAGTGTCCTTGTTTCACTGATGTTTGAAACATTTTTGTTATTTTCCGTTCGCCCGTGTGTGCAGTTGGTTGATGTTTTGGACATATAAGACGCATGACAACACAATTGTCTAAAAATACCGATCACTTGTACACAAAGTGTTCATGATCAGCATTGATATGATTTCACCGAACGGGTTCTTGGGTTTTGTAATTATTATAGTTTGAAAGTAAAGTTTTTTTCGAGTCATCAACATGTCCATAATGCCCTAGTTCAACCGGTTTCATGGAATGTGCATTCGTTTCAGATGTTGTCGTGTAAATTCTCGGATTCAGTACATGTTGGGTTCTGTATTTTTAACCGGCTGCCAGTGTCATTGAAAAACATGTGTTGCACATATGTATTGAAAGTATTGATCTTGCCGTACAGGGAAGCAACTGTTGTTGTTGTTGTTGTTGCCGTTGTTGTCTTTCTTGTTGTTGTTGTTGTTGTTGTCGTTGTTGTTGCTGCTGTTGTTGTTGTTGTGGTGGTCGCTGTGGTGTTTTGATTCAATTAGTTTAAACACGACAAACATCAGTAACAGTCAAACCAAGATGTCAAACACGGAGGGGGTTTGCTGTTGACACACGATAGTGGTTTGTATGTTTGTATCGGGCTGGTGATCGTCAAATTTATTTGGGTGCGTTGAATTTCTTTTGCTTTCCGGCAGACATTAAATGTGATTGCATGGGCCAGCAGGTTTCAACTTCAAATTAGTGAGGTTGCCGTGCAAATGTGCCATGGGCCGGAAACGTGCGCCTGGAGAAGCGGAAGGTCCAAATGGCCTAAGCCCCGAAGATGAAGCAGCTGCAATGGCAGCTGGCATTTTACTTCCAGGGGGTGTTACTCCAGGCTCTTCACCTTCAGTGCCATCCACTGGGCCAGGTGCAGTGCCTGCGATTCCCGGTGTGCCTGGTGTGCCTGGTGTACCAGGGGTACTTGGGGTGCCTGGCATTCGCCCCATGAGTATTCCAAATCTGCCTCCAGGAGTGCCCCCTGTGCCGGGTGTGCCTGGTGTGCCTGCTGTGCCCGGCATGCCACCCTTGCCGCCAGGCTTGCCAGGAGTGCCAGGGCTGGGTGCACTTCCTCCGGGCCTTCCCTCAGGGAGCTTTCCGCCGCTGCCGGGGTTACCGAATTTGCCAAACTTCCCGGGGTTGGGAGCAGCTCTGCCCCCGAACATCGCCAGTTTAGTGCCAGGCTTAAAAGCTCCCCCACCGGCTCCTACCCGGCCACCGCCCGGTGCGCCTGGCTTCAACCCGAACTTGGACACCGAGTCGTTAGCACAGCTCCGGTTTCAACAAGTTGCTGCAGAATATGAGCAGATCAAGACGGCTGGCATTGATCCGCAGGTCACTTGAAGAAACACATGAGAGTTTAGATGTTGATTTATTTTCTTTTGTCATTCTTGATCACTTTCCGTTTTTTCTAGATTCTTTGAGCGCGATAGAGTTTTCACAAGTCCTTGTAGTTATCGTGATTTTAGCATGTACGTATGAATATGATATATTACACACAGGAATATACATATATATTTTAAAATGCAAAAGATTTCCAACAGTGTATACCTCCAGAATCCATGTGTTCAGTTGTGCTTGCAATGGATGTCAGTTGAGAGAAACGGTCAGAGACGCAAAGGATGACAGACGCACAAATCGAGAAGTGTCACCAACCATTTTGCAGTTGCATCCATAAACATGGATACCAATTTACATTACTTTGAGGCCTTAGGCTCAGGAGAAAATAGGAGTGGCCGCTGCTTCGCATGGTAGCGGAGCCACACGAGCTTCGAGACCTTTGAACGTTCTTGCCTCCTTGCCCTAGCCATAGACTTTTTGGACCTCTGTTGAACGTGCTTGGACTTCACCCTCAGATCCTGGACATAACACTGCTGTCAGGTTTCCTACACTGACGTGCGTTGTGGTATATACACAGGTTTCTGGTGCAGGTGGTAGGCGCACAGTGTCTTCAGCTGGTTTTTCAGGTTTGCAGACTTTTGCAGTGAGTGTTTGTGGGCTACAGAAGTTTTCTGGGCTGAGTGATGGCTCAGCTGGACCCAGACATCTTGCAGACAGCGTTGTTACAGGTGGCAGAGGCCACACAGGCTGCAAGCAAGGCAGCCCAGGCAGCAGCTCAATCGGCTTCTCAGGTTGCTTTGAGCCCTAGTGCATCAGCTGGACAACCAAAGGCGGCCATTGACTGGTCGAAGTTGGTCAACAAGCCCCCGGTTTTTGGGGAAAATGCTACAGCAGATGAGGACATCAGACTGTTTCGAGACTGGCTTTGGCAGTTGACACAGTTTCTGGTGACGATAGACAGTGAGTACGAGAGTGAGGTGAAACAGGTTACAGATGACCCAACAAAACCTTTGGATCTGTCTTCAGCTTCGACAGACACCCGAGGCCGTGCTGCCAAGCTTTACGGTCTTATGTCTTCCTTGGTGAGATGCCGTGCACTGGCCATTGTGAAGGCAGTGCCAAGTGGCAATGGATATGAGGCTCTTCGACAGTTGGTTTTGGCCATGAGGCCTAACACCCAGTCACGTGGACTGGCAATGCTTGCTTCTTTGACGAGTTGGGGTGCATTTCAGATGAACAAACCTCTTCAGGCACAGTTGTTGAAGTTGGAAGAGGGCTTTGAGGAGTGCAGAAAGACTGGAGTTCAAATGCCAGATGAGCTCAAGACTGCAATGGTCCTTAGATGCATTTCTGGTGCGTTGAAAACACAGCTTTCTTTGCAGCTCGACGAGAATGCCACATACACCACAGTCAGGGAAGCAATCCTGAGATGGGATAGAAGCCAGCAGAAATGGCATACCCTCCTTCAAGGAGACTCCACTGATGCAGTGCCTATGGAGATAGACAGAGTTGAAGGACGCGGTCATGGTAAGTCGAAGGGAAAAGGAAAGAACAAAGGAAAGAATGATAGCAATCAAAAAGGCAAAGCCAAAGGAAAGAACAAGGGTAAGACTGGAAAGGGAAAGTCCAATTGGGACTTCAACAACAAAGGCAAAGGCAAATCCCAGAAGGGAAAAGGCAAGGGTGACGGCAAGTCAGAAAAGCAGTGCTACAATTGTGGCGGCTCAGGGCACTTTGCCCGAGATTGCTGGCATATGGTCAGGAGTGCACAGACTGAATCAGTGAATCCACCATCATCGACGGCTCAAACCAGCAGTTCATGGAGCAATGAGGGTTCAGGTCAAGCGCAGTCTGTGGGATCAGTCCAATCCTCAGGACATCAATCTGGCCATGTGCAGCAGGCAACTCAGCACAGAGTTTCACGTATTTTTGAGAATTCAAGTGATGATCCTCAAGGAGGAGTTGGTGAACCATTCATTTTTGATTTGCGTTCTCAGCATGTGCATGGTGACAGTTCAGTGCGTGTGATTTATCACTACATTGGGGACGAGTTTGATGCAGTTGAGTCCTCAGAAGTTGCAGAAGTGCGTGCAATTGTGACAGAATGCCCTGATGATGAGATGAGCCCGATCTTGCTGGACAGTGGTGCTGATGCAGCTGTTTTCCCAGCCAAATTTGCAACAGCAGGCCAAGCCTCAGATTTCCCTGCTACCAGGTTGCATGACGCTCAGGGCAGAGCTATCCCAGTTTTGGGGATGCGTGACGTGGAAGTGCAATTGCTTGATCAGAATGGCAAGATGGTAGTGATCAGAGAGCATGTTGCAATTTCAGATCAGATTCAACAACCAATCCTTTGTTTTGGCAAGCTTTTGGAATCAGGTTGGGGTGTGTGCAGCCGTGAACAGGTTTTGACGCATCCTGCAGGTGTCAAGATTCCCATTGAGTTGCAGAACAAGAGCATGACAGTTCATGGATGGATTCGTGTTTTGGGTGAGAAACATGACAACAGTGATGACATGATCCACAATTCAATTTGCGCTGTGAAAGCCACTGTAGGTCAGGAACTGGAGAGGGGACCCATTGGTTGGAACTTAGACGAGACTGGATGTGGCGTTGGACGCCATTATGCTGAATGTTTTCAGGATCCAACCTTGGCTTTTCCCCAGATGTCTGGTCCCAAGTACCGCACAACTCTGGTGAAGGATCAGGACTCATGGCTGGTCATGGAGTTATGTGAACATGTTGGATCAATCATAGATCTCAGTTCAAGCTTTCATCAACTTTATGGGCCACGTGACGTTATCACAGTGGTGGCTGACGTAGAGAAGGATCCAGAAATCATAGGTTTTTGCTTTGCAGATGATGAAGTTGCAGTGCATAGCTCTGGAACTGCAGGGAGTGCAGGTGATTTTGCTGAGGGGGTCATGGCTCCAGAAGATGAGTTGGAAGGAGTCGACATCCCAGAAGCTGTTTCAGATCTTCCTGCAGGTGCATATGTCATTGAACCATTTGACGAGGACAAAGTTTTGGTCAATGGTGTTGAGTTGACAATCGAGAGCAAACTTGCAGACTTGCGCAATGCATGTGGATTTTTCAAGTTGTCTCAGAGTGGAAGCAAGGAACGATGTTACAAGCGCATTGTTAATTTCCTCAAGCAGCATCATCTTGAACTCATTGATGCTGTGGCTCACAGGTTGGATACAGATCTTCAGCGTGATCCCAATGCACCACCACTGGCAGAGGCCCCAAGTGACAAAGAGGTTCAGAAGCACAATTTGACTCATTTGCCGTACAAAGCATGGTGCCCAGCTTGCGTGTCATATCGTGCAAGGGCTGACAAGCAGATCCGTGACAATCAAACTACTGCTTCTTCAGTGCCCTGCATTTCTTTTGACTTTGCATATGCAAAATCGATGTCAGATCGAGAGGATGAGCAGGTTGGAACTATGGTGGCATTGGTGTACATTGACAGCCAAACGGGCTTTTTGGGGTGTGTTCCAGTGCGCAGCAAAGGGCAATACAGCTTGATGGTCCAAGAACTGGTTTCATTTCCACAGTTGTTGGGGTATACAGAGGTTGTGTACCGGGCTGACAATGAACCAACAGCCAGGCAACTTTTGAAGCTGGTTGTGGACACACGTTTGAGAATGGGATTGCCCACACGAAGTAGCACACCACCACCTTATTCACATGGAAATGCACTGGCAGAGAACTGCATTGCCAGGATCCGTGGATTGACTGGCAGTTTGATGTTTTCATTGTTTGAGCAGCTCAACATGAAATTTTCAACCAACAGTGCATTGTGGAGCTGGTGCATGAGACATGCGTGTTGGCTTCTCAATCGATATGCCCCATATCGAGGCGTGACTCCATATGAACTGGTGTATGGCAAGGGCTATGCAGGCTCTATTTGCCAGTATGGGGAGCCCATTTTTGGGTTTGTGCGTGGGCCCAACAAGGGTGATGCAAGTTGGAGACGCATGATTTTTCTTGGCAAAGTGGAAGCACAGGACAGCTTTGTGTGCTTCGATGGTGACAACATCGTGTTGACCAAGTCAGTGCGCAGGGTTGCAACAAGTTGGAAGAGCCACTTGGGCTTTTACGTGAGCTTCAAGAATGCCTCATGGGAGTTCAAAACAGGGCTTGGTGGTCGAGTTGTCCCCACCAAACGGGCCAAAGAACCAATTGGCTCCAGCTTCAGCCTCCCACAAGGAACCATTCAGGGTTCAGCCTTCTATGATGAAGAAGGTGAGGCAGTGCGTGAGAAAGCGCGAGAGGAAGCTCGAGAAGATGCAGAGTTGGCTGGAATGATGGCATGGGACAAACGGGCAGTTGCAGTCGAAGCTCCAGCAGTGACTTTTGGAGGAGCTATTGAAGTTGAAGCAGAGATGTCAGAGGAGGAGCCAGAGATCACAATTTCTGGCGGCCCTACAGTGCCAGATGTGGCAAGTGATACTGCTCCTGTTGTCTTGCCTCCAGATCCTTCAAGTGCAGTTGGAGGTACGCAGCCAACAACACCAAGAATGAGTTCAACAACCCGTGCACACGATGATGTTCCAGATGAGCATGAAGCCAAGAAAGCCAGAACAGCAGAACAGAAACGCCAAAGAATTGAACGTTTGTCAGCTGAATACTCCAGCATGATCAGGAGTGTCAAGGTGGCCAATGATGAGTTTTACACCATGGACGACTATGATGCTGATCTGCAGGTTGAGAATGAGTTTGACGCTGCAGACCCATGGTGGGATGAGGATCAAGTGAAGGTTGATCAGATGCCAACAGAATTGTGGAGTGATCATGCAGTTGATGACATGCCACCACAACCTCCGTCGTGGGTGGATGACTTGGCTGACAAAGTCGAAATTGAACGTTTGAAGAACATGGGAGTGATGATTGAGGAGGAGCTTTTCAATGGACCTCCCATCAACTCCAAGCTGACAACCAAACATGTCCATGATTGGCGCTTGAAACCCTTTGAGCAAGGGAAGAAGTGGCTCAGGCGTTCACGCCTGGTGGCACGTGAGTTTGCATGGGAGAAGAGGTCAGACACCTTCTCTCCAGCGACATCAAGTCACACAATGAATGTCCTTCCAGTTGTCTATCTTGGACGCCTAGCTGAGGAGGAGAACTCTGAAGGCCTACCAAGTGGAGATCCATGTGCACTTGGTGTGGTCGACATCAAAGATGCTTTTCTGATGGTGGACCAGCAGGAACCACAACGAGTTGTTCTCCCAACAGGGAACTTTGTCCTGCTCAAGAACTTACCAGGGCAAAGATTGGGCGCAAAGAACTGGTTTTGGCATTTTCACGATTTTCTTTCAAAGGAATTGCAAATGGAATGGAGTGCAGAACAGCCTTGCTTGTGCAAGAATTCCAAATGTGCCTTGATGATCCATGTGGACGATGTGATGTTTCTTGGAAGCAGCAAATACTGGAAAGAGACGTTTTTGCCCAAACTCAAGGAGCGCTACACAGTCAATGCATCCCAGCTTGAAGGCATTGGCAGTTCCATCAGCTTTCTCAAGCGTAAGCTGGTGAGAATTCCAAATGGTCTTGCTTTGGTCCCTGGAACTAGCGTGGAGAAGCTAGTGCAATCTTTCGAGCAATGGTTTGGAAGAGTACGTTTTCAGATGGTGCCATGTGACAACAGCATTCAGCTTGAAGATCTTTCACAACCACTTTCAGCAGAAGAATCCTTCCACTACAGATCGGTGGTAGGCATGTGCCTATACTTGGCACGTGATCGTCCTGACATCATGTATGTTGTCAAGGAGCTTTCCCAAAAGATGTCTTCACCTACAGCTGTTTCTCTTCAGCGTTTGAGGAAACTCATTGGCTATTTGAAGGGTACAGGTGATTTTTGCGTTGTTCTGGAGATGCCTGTGCCAGGCCATGGACGTTGCAAAACATCAGAGGAGAAGACTTGGATTCTCGAGTCACATGCAGACAGTGATTGGAGTGGCAACAAAAGCCACAGGAGATCTACAAGCTGCGGCCTTCATGTGATGAACGGCCAATACATGTTCGGTTCAAGTCGCACACAACGTGTGGTGTCATTGAGTTCGTGTGAAGCAGAACTCCATGCCCTTGTGTCAACATTGAGCGATGACATCTACATTCGAAGGTGCTTTGAGTTTGTGATTGGTGCCAAGATCAAACACATGTTGCTGACAGACTCTTCATCAGCGCGTCAGCTGATCAGTCGTCAAGGGACAGGCAAAGCAAAGCATGTTTCTGGAAAGATTCTGTGGATACAAGATCATGTGAGACAGGCATTCGTGGACATATCACAGATTTCAACAACTTGGAATGTTGCTGACATTGGAACAAAACCTTTGTCCAAACAGCGCATGCAGCTTCTACTCCATGAAGTGGGAGTACATAGCGGCAATGGTGAATTTCGAGTTGGACAAGAAGAGTGTGAACAACAAAGTTTGCGTCACACAGGTGGACCACAAATCAGCAAATTGGCAAAGGCGGTGGCCCGAGTCATTATGGTGCTAGGCCTTGAGCCCCTTTCAGTTGCAGGTGCTGGAATCCCAGGAGACGATTTGCAATGCAGTGCAGACATGGTGGTACAATCCAACGATGATGGCCACTTTTGGGTCTTCTTCTGGATGGCAGTGCTTTTTCTGTTATGGACTGGTTTCGTTTACAAAGCATGGAAGTTTGCCAAAGATGTGCGTGAGGAACTCTCCAACCATTCATACCAATTGGCTGATGGAGATCGATGCTATGGCAACCAAGAGCAGAAACTGAACAGTCAACAGGAAAGCTTGAGTGCACTGGAAGGTTGGGTGGCCAACGTTGAGGGCCAGATCACTATGGTGAGTGATTACTCTGAGTCTGTTCACCATGGCTTGGTGGAGCTTGGTGGATTTACAAGGCTGACAGATTTGACCCCTGATGAGAGGCGATGCATGTACAGTGCTGAACGTGCCAACCTGGTGTCACGCAACACAATGGGTGCAGACTACTACATGAGGTGCCTGCGCCAGCAGTTTGGTGGAGGACAGGGCCAAAACACAGATGGGGATGAGACTATGGAATCAGAGTCAGACTCCCAGGCCGATGATCCACCAACAGCAGAAAATGCAGCCTCAGGTTCAGGTGATGGTCCAAGCAGCAGCCCAACAGGAATGCTGAATCTACAGGATGACCTTGTGACTCAGTTGAATGCAGCACTGGCCAGGGAATCATACCGTGATGCCTCCATCATTCAACACCTGATGATGGACTTGCTGGATCTCAGCCACCAGAATGGGTTCTACAACACAGAACGCCGTAACCGCTTTCTTGGGATGCTCAATCAGCGCTTCACTGAAATGCGTGACTTTGCCAGATTTCATGGCAACCCAGATGTGGCTACGGTGTATGACTCCTATCTGAACTCATAGAGGAGGTTCATGCATTGAGTTGTCTGGAGAACTAGCGCTACACCAGACAAAGGAGGAGTGCAAAAGATTTCCAACAGTGTATACCTCCAGAATCCATGTGTTCAGTTGTGCTTGCAATGGATGTCAGTTGAGAGAAACGGTCAGAGACGCAAAGGATGACAGACGCACAAATCGAGAAGTGTCACCAACCATTTTGCAGTTGCATCCATAAACATGGATACCAATTTACATTACTTTGAGGCCTTAGGCTCAGGAGAAAATAGGAGTGGCCGCTGCTTCGCATAAAGAATATACACAAATACACATATACATGTATACATGTATACAGTATACATGTATACATGTATATTTGTACATGTGTACATGTGTATATATGTCTATGTGTATATGCGTATATGCGTATATGTGTATATGTGTATATGTGTATATGTGTATATGTGTATATGTGTAAATGTGTATATGTGTATATGTGTGTATATATATGATACACACGTACACACACATATATATAACATGTATGTATGTATGTAATGTAATGTAATGTATTGTAATGTAATGTAATGCAATGTAATGTAATGTAATGCAATGCAATGTAATGTAATGCAATGTAATGTAATGCAATGTAATGTAATGCACTGCAATGTAATGCAACGTAATGTAATGTAATGTAATGCAATGCAATGTAATGTAATGTAATGCAATGCAATGCAATGTAATGAAATGCAATGTAATGCAATGTAATGTAATGTAATGTAATGCAATGCAATGTAATGCAACGTAATGTAATGTAATGTAATGCAATGCAATGTAATGTAATGTAATGCAATGTAATGCAATGCAAAGCAATGTAATGTAATGCAATGTAATGTAATGCAATGCAATGCAATGTAATGTAATGCAATGCAATGCAATGCAATGTAATGTAATGTAATGCAATGTAATGAATGCAATGTAATGCAATGTAATGTAATGTAATGCAATGTAATGCAATGCAATGTAATGCAACGTAATGTAATGTAATGCAATGTAATGTAATGCAATGCAATCTAATGTAATGTAATGTAATGCAATGTAATGTAATGTAATGCAATGTAATGTAATGCAATGTAATGTAATGCAATGTAATGCAATGTAATGTAATGTAATGCTGTAATGCAATGCAATGTAATGCAACGTAATGTAATGTAATGCAATGTAATGTAATGCAATGCAATGTAATGCAATGTAATGTAATTTAATGCAATGCAATGTAATGTAATGCAATGCAATGCAATGTAATGTAATGTAATGCAATGTAATGCAATGTAATGTAATGTAATGCAATGCAATGTAATGCAATGTAATGTAATGTAATGTAATGCAATGCAATGTAATGTAATGCAATGTAATGCAATGCAATGTAATGTAATGTAATGCAATGTAATGTCATGTAATGCAATGTAATGCAATGTAATGCAACGTAATGTAATGTAATGTAATGCAATGTAATGTAATGTAATGCAATGTAATGCAATGTAATGCAATGCAATGTAATGCAATGTAATGTAATGTAATGTAATGCAATGTAATGCAATGTAATGCAATGCAATGCAATGTAATGTAATGTAATGCAATGTAATGTAATGTAATGCAATGTAAGGCAATGTAATGTAATGTAAAGTAATGTAATGCAACGTAATGTAATGTAATGTAATGCAATGCAATGTAATGCAATGTAATGTAATGTAATGTAATGCAATGCAATGTAATGCAATGTAATGCAATGTAATGTAATGCAATGTAATGCAATGTAATGTAATGTAATGCAATGCAATGTAATGTAATGTAATGTATGTATGTATGTATGTATATATATATATATTTGATACTTGAACGTATACCGAGTCACCCCACGTCGCACAGGTCACAGAGCTTGCCGAACACTTTGGCCTTGATGAGCGAGTGACGCGCCTCTTGGATGAGGAAATGAAGAAAAGGCGGAAAACCTTCGAAGAGGATCTGCAGGCACTGGGACCATTGGGAAGTTGAAGTGTTCCAGTCGTTTATGTGAATACATAATATAGATTAATATAGCCATAGTGAAAAGTGGGCTGAAAAACACCGGAGTTGAAATTTTTCCATGGTTATATCTATTTGTAACCTCAACTGCACCGCCAAGTGGGAAGTTGAAATGAAGATGGGAGACATAGTGTCAAAGGATATCATTTTGTGATGTGTGGGCTTGACAAGTTTCAATATTTCTTGGACTCATCAAGTGCATAGTTTGTCAATTTTGGAGTAGTGAGGAGCTACTTTCGAGGTTTCCAAGTTTCGACACTTAACGAATCAAGCATTCTAGATTCTAGAAGTAAGTATGCCCTCCCAAAGTAATACTCTCAATCTGGCTCAAAATAATTTACTGTAGAATCCCCCTTGCTACTACGTTTTTACCATCCGAAGCCACACAAGAAATGTTTGTGTCCGTGACACTTGACTTATTGCATCCCGAAATGGCTTACCTGCCAGGCGCTTTGGGTTGGTTTAGAAGGAGCAACTTGGTGAACTGTGTCAAACTGTGTCACACTGTGTCACACTGTGTCACACTGTGTCAGCTGTGTGTTTTTAGGCTCAATACACCATGTGTAACACCTTCGTGCACCAAGGCAAAAAATCCAGCAGGCATGGTGATGATGAGGCTGAAAGATATGCGAAACGGAATCTTTCGAGGAATGATACTTGGCGGCAAGAAGGTTGCATCGTGTGTGAAAACACCAAACGTGCACCAAGGCAAAAAATCCAGCAGGCATGGTGATGATGAGGCTGAAAGATATGCGAAACGGAATCTTTCGAGGAATGATACTTGGCGGCAAGAAGGTTGCATCGTTTGAAAAAAAAACAGCGTGTCAAGTGCACGAACTGAGACTGAGAGTTGTATTCCAGTTTTGTCCGCAATTAGGTGCAACCAAATTCGTCACTGGCATTCAATTTACTGTGGATGTTTCAGCCGAGGTCTGCAATGGGAAAGAAAGTGCAGGAATATGCCAAGAGGTATCGACTAGACACGCAGGTCGGCGTGCTCCAGACTAGACTCAGCACTGGCACTGTCGGAAACCCAAGGATAAAAGGCGATATATAGGTGCCATATGACTATGTATGGCTTTGCAATCAGCCCCAAATGGTACTTTTGTAGTTGAACATAATTGTTGTGGTTCATTGGTGGGTTCACCAGACCCATTTGCCAGGCCGGTATCCGTTTGGCAGAGGCCTGCTACATCGTTGGTGTTCATTGTCGTGCAGTCGTGCCACTTTTCCTTCAAAGACTCCTAAAATTGGGTAAATTGCCACCTAGAGATGGTCGATTCAAGTCTATTCTGTTCATTTTCGGAATAGCATCCCTTTATATATATTCCATGGATATCCCACTATATTCCACTCACATCCCACATTTTTAGGCTACCAGGGAACAGATCTTTTCCTCTTGCGTGAGAGGTCTTGGAACAACGTGAAGATCCAGATGGCGATTTAGCCAAGATTGCCCGTCACTTGGAACGATCCAACAAACCTTCCTCCTTGGTGATGATGATGTCGGGATTCTCAGAACTCAGCCTGCTCAACTGCTGAAATGGAGAGAACTTGGCATTCCGAACTTGGCAAAATCATGCAAATGCCGACCTGATTTCTGGTTGAAGAACTGTTGAGAAGAGCTTCACCAAGAATGACGAGAATCCCTATTAATGGATAAAAAAAGATAAACATCCCCTCAGCAGCTTGCTCTCTCGACTCCACCAGTTTGGAGTTTAAATCTCGAAGGCTTCGAGACCTCAGGGATGGCAAGCCTGTGAAGGTGCACAGGGTCCATGCCGCCATGCCATGTTGTGGCACCCCACATATCGATACATGTCGGACAAATACCAAAAACACGCAAACTCAGCTGGTCTGAGGGTCAGTGTGACATGCACCAGTGCCATGTCTCGCAGGATCCTGAGTACGCTGCTGCAATCGGAAGCAAGCTCCATGAGAAGGATTGGGGATGGTTTTGTTGGGATGGGATACATGCTCTGGTTGCTGATTGAACCAGCAATTTTCTTGTGATTTCTCCCAGAAAATTGGGCGATGCACAAAATTCACAGTCTGGAGATGGAGAGGAGATATCTCAACCCCGCTCAATGCTCCTTCATGACCCAGATGTTCCTCCAATGATGAACAAATTTGAAAACAAATGATTAAATTACAGAACAGTACTATTTGCAGTTTCAGTAGAGCTATCAAAACGTGCTGTTAGCTGCCATTGCTTCCCCGTAAAGATCTCAGACAGGTTTTGCTCTCACGCGACAGCATTGCACTCCATTTGTTGGTCTGTCTGTCCGTCCGTTAGTCAGGCAGTCAGTCTGTCTGTTTTGTTTTGATTTGTCTTGCTTTTTTTTGTTTCTTTGTTTGTTTGCTATTGTTTGCTTGTTGTCAATGAGTCTTGGCCTGAACTTCATTCAAAATAAAAGACAAAAAACGGGGAGGCAGGAAGGAAGTTTGTCCTCTGGGTCCTGCTCATGCCACTGTGCAAACAACTCTTACAAGTCTTACAAGGGATATTTTTGTCATTGTGCCTGAAGCAGAGAGATGCAGATAGCAAGAAAACACAACAATTGGGCATTTATCGCATCACCGCCATCTTGGAGGCGCTGGGCGCTGTGCTGTGCCCTGCCCCGAACCCCCCTTGCAGCACTGTCGTTGGGCTCTTGAGGCTTTGCCTCAAGGTCTGGAGAGGTTCAATAGAGTGTCCACCACGAAAAAACCTTAGAGGACAGCAAAGTGGTCCCCCACAAAAGTGTTCCACAAGAGAGTCTTTCGAAGGTAGCAAAAGCTTGTCAGAAGAGTTTCCTCAAAGCCTCAAAGTTTTTTTTTTTACAAGAGTGCCCCAAGAGCATTTGAAAAGGGTATCTTCTCAATTTAAAGCTGTCGCGCAAAAGCGCCTTCGAAGAGTCCCAACAAGCGTGCCACGGGGCCCCACAAGAGTGTCCCGCAAGAGTGTCCCGCAAGAGTGTCCCGCAAGAGTGTCTTGGTTCAGTTCGTCTGCTGGAGTGTTGTACTACAATTACAGATTGTCTTTCTAGAGCATCCAGCAAGAGTGTCCTAGAAGCATGCATTGCAAGAGGGTCTCAGAGAGTGTCTTGCGAGATTGTCTCAAAAGAGTGCCTTCAAAGAGTGTCTTACAGGGAGTGTTTTGTAACAGTGTCCTTGCAAAAATATCCCACAAAAGTATCTTCAAAGGGCGCCTGCACGAGTTTTTTTTTTCAAAAGTGTCCCGCAAGAGCGTTTTGCAGGAGTGTCCCAGAAAAGGATAAAATCCAGCGTCAGCAACTACGGCTCAACAATCAAAGCCCGTTTCGCTTCAGTAACCACAGCTCCGAAACCACGACACAGCAACCAAGAATACTTTCGCTTCAGAAACTACGGCGCAGCAAATACGGCTCACCAACAAAAACATAGTTTCGCTTCAGCAACCAGATGGCTGAAACTCAAAAAATGTCACCAAGTCACTATTGAATTTCACCCCTTCACTAGGCTTGCTTTAGGATTTATTAATGTTTATTTAGTGTTGGTTTATGATGATTTCTGGTCTATTTGGGTTTGGTTTAGGCTTGCTTTTGGGTTTATTTAAGCGTTTATTTGAGTCGCTTCGCGACGAGTACCGCCCGCACCCAGGGAATAGGACAGAGAGCAACATGGGGATCATTGCTTCAACCGAAGCGTCATCGATAGCAAAAAAACGTGATAAATACCAGTGAAAACGCGTGTTTTGACGAGTTCGTATTGGGCCGGCAATGTCCCCCGTGTGGTGCATTTGGACGATGTTCCAATTTGCAAAACGTGCAACATACCACAGTCCCGTGCACTTTTTGGCGACCCGCCCGGGCGATTTAGGGTTTTCGAAGCGTAGCAATTATGGTTGTCGACACACAATCTTCGAAGCATAGTTTCCGAAGCATGGCTTCAGGAGCATGGTTGCCGAAGCATAGTTTCCGAAGCATGGTTTCAGGGGAGCGTCTTGCAATGTTGTCCCAAAGATTAATGTCTTTCGGCAGTGTCTTACCACAATCCCACCAGAGAGTCCCATGTCCAGCGACAATTTCTTTCTTTGGGTTGCAGGTTGCTGGTCTGACGGATTAAAAAAAATCCCCGCTGCTGATGCGCATTCGGGTTTGTAGATTCCATCGTGTTTTTTGATCTCCGGATGTCAAGCGCTTTTGCATCGCTGGACATGTTGCTCGTGCCACCACATGCATGCAACTGTTTTTTGAGATGTTTTTTTGATCTCTTTTTTTTTGATTCGGCTACCGCCGCTCCTACCAGCGTGCCAGGAGATACGCGAGACAAAGACTGACGAACGGCCCAAACGTGATCGCCGCGACGGCCGCGACGGGGGCGGCGGCCGCGAGGGTCGTGAGGGCCGCGACAACCGCGAAGGCCGTGATGGTCGTGAGGGACGTGAGCGTAGCCAAAACCCCAGTGTTGCGTTGCCAGCTAGCGCAAAGCAAATCACCCTCTGAATTGGGATGTTATTGAGCATGGTTCTTGCAGTATATACATGTTCAGTGAATTTCAGCGACTTGTATAGACCTGATAGAAGATTTGGATGATGTGGGCGGTCAAGCTGAAATGAAGAGCTTCCGCTTGATGCTCTTGAGGTCGCAGTCGCCGGCGTGACAGGCCAGTGGTATGGTTTGGTAGATACTGAAACAAAGCTTACAGGAAAGCGAGATCCAAGTTCATGCCTGCGTGCAAAAACCATTAGTCGGCTGGGTGTGTCCGCGTCCCTACAATTGAGGCACCGCAGCCGCAGCCGCCACCGTTCAGATCGCAGGTGAGTATCAAGCAGTGCTTTCTTTGCTCACAGGTATCAACTGGCTGAGTGATGTTATGTGCCTATTTGTGTCAACACATTCCCATGCTCTTAGCGGCGCTTTCC